ATATTTAGTAAGTACGAAGAGAGAGAGAGAGAGAGGGAGAGAGAGAGAAAGAGATCGATCGGACAGCCGCGCGTAATGACAGAAACCAGCGAGAGATCCTTCAATTCGTCATCTGTGTCTTTTGCACTTCGAAACAAAGTGAAGGCGCAAAAAGTGCATCTAAATGAGTGGCTCTGTGAATGCAACACAACACCGCCGCTCGTTATAATTATAACAATATGTTTCAAATGTAATTTGAGAGAAAAGGAGACATGCGAAAGGAACAAATTATGATAAAAAAATGGAGCAATCTCGCGTTTGAGGTGCAACAACTCTGGCCTTCTACACCACGCTTGAATCTCTTGTAGTTGTATCGTTTCAAATTTTTTATATTTAAAATGAAACAAGCGTATACAATTGTAGAATTATCCGGAGAAACATATAAAAAAAATTAAGAAATTCAACTGGGAGAAACAAAGAATATCGTACTCGTTCTATTTCAAGTGCAAGAGCAGGAGGTGCAAGCGGTGCAGATGTGAGGAAACGTCCGCGGGATGACCGGCCGAAAAATTCCGAGTTTTTCAGCTGTGTTTTCGCGCTTCTCTCATTCTCTCGCATTTTTCCCTCTATTTACACTTTTCGCCCGACTCGACTGTTCGCGGCGAAAAATCTCCAGCGCTGCGAAAAGCGCTCACTCGCGCGATGCATTTTCGCGTAGCTACGTCGTCGAAGAATTCAAGAGATTCGATAAACCGGCTCCGATTTCTCTCTCTCTCTCTCTCTCTCTCTTTTCCGTTTCCTCCGTCATCGTAGGACCGGAAGAATCGGGACGAAAGGTGTTGATGAGGGGACGATCTTAGGAGATGGAGTTTCGCTCGCCGAGGAGAGGCGCCGACTCCCGCGACGAACTCCGCCTCCTCTGGAGCGGAGACCGCGAACGACGTAAATCTCTCGCTCGCATCACCCGGTGTCCGACACGTGTTTACACCGTTCGTACACTTACTTACCGTCGCTTTCGGATTGGCTTGGCAGACAGCTCACAACAACAATAGAAGCAACTCTCGCGTCCGTGAAAATTCGCACCGGATTATCAGCCGATTGTTAGTCCCTGCAGTCCCCGCTCTTGGTCCACCCCTCCGCCACACACCCAGCTGAACGGAAGCACGGGCAACATGGCGGCGCGTTCGGAAGGGCGGGTACTTCCCATGTACGTTTGTATCTCGCGCAGTCCGCGCGGAGGTTATGTCATGTGAGATTTGCCACTCGCAAATGTGCATGGGATCCGATCTCAGACGCGACCTCCGCGTATCCAATTGTCTGTCGAGGAGAGAGAGTCGTTTGCAGCCCTAGATTTTACGCGGAGGCGCGTCTACCGTCCGTCATAACGAACTGTAGGAATATCATATGAAGCATCTCATATGTTCGCCACTTGCCAACAATATGGCGCTAAATTTTGGATTTGCGCTATTTTCGTGGAAACAACATTCGCGATCCTTTAACGTTGACCTCTTTAGATTTATTTTTAAAATTTATTTTGACCTTGTCAAATGAAAACTGACGTGTAATATCGTTGTGTTTTTCAACTTGATCATGCATAAATTTATATTAATAAAAGCTTTCAGTTACATGTCACTTGTATTGATCATATTTTTTAAAAGCTCTTCTAAATAGAAAAACTATAAAAAAAAAAGCTCGATTTTTTAATTACTGTATAAAATTAAGTATTTTATGTGACTATTGTTATATTTTTTCAACAAATTAACGTTTAATAGAAGTTCTTATCCCTTATCCCTTTAGAAAGATTATTTAATTTATATTATTAAATCATATTCATTTTAATGATTATATAATTGTCTGTTGTGTCCTTTGAGAAAAGGAGTTCAATCCTGCTTGAATATACTTTGACAATATTCCAAGAGTGTATCTACTCCTGTTTTGTTCCTAAAATTTGGTCGACAGCCATGCAGCTTTTGATGCAATAGTTCAGGATAAATCTTTGCGACACGTTTTAATGCATCTAAAAAAAACAGTATAAAATTAAGTTAAAAATCACATTAAAAATCGCATTAAATTTTACTTAAAATTGCAAAGTTATAAATATTAAGATTTGCATTATATAAAATTGGATATATATTTAAATATCATATTTAAACCAATCTGAAAAAAGATATCTCAGGAAAGATAAAAAAAAACCGTAGCGAGAATATTCACTGTTACCTAGCATTATCTCTTGGAAGCGAGACTCAGGATCGTCCAAATGAATAATCATCGTCGTATATAGAGCATCGATGTGACTTCTGCTAACGACAGTGTCATAATCCTCGGATGCGGCATTCCATACATCGACAAGGGCCTCCACGGCGGCATAACGAATATCGTCACAACCGTCGTCAAGTCTTTTCATTATCACCGGATACGTTCGATGGATATGCTCGTTGTTTAGACAAGACAGCTTTTTTCCGATTGTTACTAATAGACAAATAGCACGCATGGAGTATAATCGAGTCTTCTTCGCCTTATCGTCCACCAAACTGATCAAAACGGGCACGATTTTGTCGAAGATGGATGGGAACTGCTCCGTCGTGATGGACATTTTAGATTCGTCTCTTTCTTCATTTGTAAATGATTCTGTTTCGTTGATCTCGTCGAGATTGATTATTTTATTCTGTAGAACAGCGCAGAGGCAGCAAACGGCGGCTGTGCGAATGGCTTCGGCTGCTCTGCCGGCGGTCCAAATGAGTGCAGGTACGATTAGCTCTTCAATAATTGTATTCACGAATTTACGCGGGTCCTCAATATATCGATGTAGAGCTTGATTGTTGAGAAAATACTCCGAAAGTAGAATAAAGTGTCGTAGCTTCACTTCAGGATCAGCATTCTTGTCCATGGTTTCCTTGAGGATAGATAGTACGAGATCCATATTACGTGCCATGGCGATTCCGGCGTGGCTTAAACAAGCGGAGAAAATTTGCGATTCCGCTTTGTAGACCGTCCATGAGGCGCAATCATCATCAATTAATATTATTAGTGGCCTCATGTGATTGCAGAAAAGATCATCGAGATCTTTTAGCGAATTTATGTCGACGAGCATTTTCAAGAGTCTGTCCGCTTCCTCGCAAATGGAAGGCTCTACACTCATCGAATACATACTAAATATTATAGTGAATAAAGCTTGCGTAACTGCCATGCAATCCTGTAATATAACGCACTGATAGATCTAAGAATTAAGCAAGAAAAATTTTTAAATTCAATTAAATCAACATAACAAACGTGTGTATAACGAAGAATTGTGTCCGGACCTCTTTACAAACTACGAGAAGGGAATTACAGCAGGATAGTATCTGACGTTGATAGTTGCTCTTCTTGCTCCAGCAGATACTTGGCCGTTGCAAAAAGTTCGTAATTTTGTCCAACTGCTGCGACAAAGCCCTCCGTTCGCTACCGCTAAGAATCATCGCGAAAACACGCATGTGTCCGCTCGTTGGAGATTCATCCAGTGTGGGAAGCACCAAGTGACAGTAAATTTTTGGTTGCACGAAATAGCCTAAATATCGCGCCGCAGTTTCCACGCAACCCACGACTCTTTTATCTTCGTCGTTGCAAGCACTGTAACAAATAATGTTATAACTACAGCAATTTTTTTTAGAAACAGTCAATGTTTATAAAACAAAAATCTTAAAAATAAAATAATTTTGTAAAGAAATAAACGCACTATAAATTCTATATTTAACTTTTAATGGGAGATTAAAATATTTACCGGTACATAGGTGGTAAGAGCTTTCCAATATGTTGCGTGACGTTCTCTTCAACATTTAATATCATTACACAGAGCAATTGTGCGGAGCGTACACGTATATCCGGCAACCAATCTCCAAGTTCCGCGCTGATGCCGCCGATAAGCTTGCATAAATTCTGCTGTGCGATCACACGGCATCCTAAATTCGGCCTAGAAACTAGCAGTGCCTCATATAGTTTAGCTCTATAGCAATATAATACACCAGTTGCTTGCGAATGCGTATGTGTGGGGGAAAGGGAAGAAGTGCAGCTTTTTAAAGATAACTTACCTTCCGGAGGATAATGTTCCAAGTCTTCCGCAAGAAAGTCCATCTTATCCTTCAATTTCTCGTCGTTTTCATTTTCCACCAAGTACAATTTTCCCGCAGCGTCCCACATATCTGCTGCTTTCACACGAATCTCCGGGAGCTCGTCGTGCAATCCTGTCATGATCAGAGGGAGAAGTTTGTGCCACCAACCGTATCTGTCAGGAAGTTCTATCAACCAGCGGCCGGAGATTTCAATTACAGCTTTAAAAGTCCAATGCAAAAGCATATTAAAGAATTGAATAAAATGATTGGAAAATGATTACAAAAAATATTTATTATATATTTATTATATGAAGTATACCTTCCCTGACGATCCCATTTTGATCAAAGAGCCTCTGTGCTAAAGGAGTTGCCACTTCTTCCATCGACTTGCTATTTCCATATCGAATCACATCGCCTATCGCTTCAACAGCAGCGCGTCGAACTCTGTAGTGCTGGTGCGTAAAGTTGCTCAGAATAGGTTTAACCAAATATTCCGATTGCGAGTAGAAATGCCTCGGTAGAGTTTTCGCGTAATCCGATATGCATCTGCAGCTCTCTTTTTTCACATTCGGATAATTATCCGTAACGGTGCGCGCCAGTATTCCCGTTATGTCTTGAACATACGGCGTCAGTAAATCTGTATACTTCAAAATTATTATTCGTAAAAGGGATACACATTTCAGGCGCACTTCTTCCGACGGCTCAATCAATTCCTGTACGCCTAATCGTCTGGACATTATCGGTATAATGTAGATTATGTGCTTATCGTCAGGAGGCAGAGCTTCCAAAAATATTTTCAGTATCCCTATGGTCAGATCTCGACACGTCTCCATGTTGTCATTCATAATTCTAACTAAAAATCTGTGTATGTTCTCCCATATTTTAGCTAGATTGTCTGGTTCACTTGACGTTTTCTCTTCAGATATATTTTTTAATATCTCTTCTAGTGCTTGTTTCCGACGATTCTTTTCTTCCGCTTGCAATAAAACTGTAATCTTACTTAATTCAAGATTCAACATCATACTATTCGCAATGGATTTCTTCCTCTTTCCTAGAATTGAAGCAACGATGATGTAAAAGCACAAAGTTTTACACGAACTTTATAGAGTATAGAGAGAAACATACCCGATTTAAACACTGTACGTCTCCATGACAACACTTCTGTTCGGGTTGATAATAGATATATCGTCTCTTGACGCAATTGTCGCCAGTAAAAATTCTGTAAATATCTTCTATAAATATTCATTTAAAATCTCCTTTTATTTGATACTAAGATATTTACAAAAAACTTTTATATCTTGAAATATATTTATTATGTCTTGATCTAAAATACATATTTTACATAATCATTCAATAAAATTATCACTAGATCATTGGTAAGCACAGGAATACATATCTATGACCATACAGAATTCTAAAATTTTACAATATCTAATACCATATGTGACTATGTTTCATATTGAAATATGCTTATCGATTTTTCTAATGGCCTAGTAGTAATAAACTAAGCTATAGTATAGACAGTTTATACAGAGAAAAAAATAACTACAAAGGAAATGTACATTAAGACATTCGGCCGATTATTCTCACCGATGAACGCAAGGAACTAGTTTATATATTCACTGTGTTGTTTTGCAAGTTTGGGGAAATATAAAAATAGTGTAGAAAATTAAGAGACGGATATGTATTCTGGACATGGTCCCCGGAATTGAATCCTAACTTTGAACCGTCATTTAGTCGCGATTAAAATATAACTTCCCAAATGCAATCGTCTAGCTCCTAGTCTTCCAGAGTTACATTCTTAAATAAATACGACATTGACTCCTTATTGTGTATACGTCGAATAGCCTCTGCTAAAAGAATACTGATGTCGACAGTCTTGATTTTTGGGCACTGCATCTTCTGCACGTCATGAGGAACGGTATTAGTTACGACAACCTGAAAAAATTTAACGGATCAAATATTTTCTTTTATGTCAATTTTCCACAATAAGGTCTATTGTTTCAATGTTACTACCTCGTCGATTGGAGACTCTTCGATGAGTCTAGGCGCATCTGAACTAAGCAAACCATGCGTAGCTAAGACGTATATTTTATAAGCTCCTCTTTCTTTAAGTACTTCGGCAGCTGCTACGTATGATTGTACATCATCTATCATGTCGTCCTGCAACATTATTTCTCGTCAAATTATACTTATATACGGCGTATATAATATATATCATTTTACTTACCACCATAATAGCGATACGTCCTCCAACATCTCCGACGACGCTTATTGGCGGCTTTTCCTTCGCTGGATGCAAAGGAACACCCACACCTACTTCCATCGTACGTGCGGCCAGTGCTAATGCGGGTGGTGAATAGCGGCCGTCGTTCATGTCGGATTCGGCTTCTCTTTGTTCTCCGTGAATCACAGCAATTCCCAGGCGCAGCCTCTCTGCATAGCTAGTCGCTTTTTTTGCGCTACCTGGATTTCTTGCAACGATCACAGAATTATGATAGTCAGGAATCTGACAAAAAGAAGATACAATTTATGTAAAAAGAGCGTGATATAAAATAAAATCACACATGTGGAGTAATATTAAATTTAACCCAATTTTACTTAATTTAAATATCTTAAATTGGGTAAAATAAAAATGTTATTCTGCAATATTATCAAAAATAAATAAGATGAAAATATATCTTCAATGCAAGATATAGAATACTAATACAAGATTTTCTACAATGTAACATTATTAGTAATTTACAATAATTATTATTAATAATTTACAATGATGAGTTGTTACAATTTTACATACGGATTCTTGAATGTATTGCAGAAGGAATGGACTAGCTCTTAGATTATCCACAGGAACGTCAAAAAAACCTTGGATTTCTTTCTGATGAAGATCCATCGTAATAATGTGAGTTAGGCCGCTCGTGCATAACATCTTCGCCAAAAGTTTAGATACTATACAGCCACGTTTGCGCATTTTGCACTGCTTGGAGTAAGGCAAGTATGGAATCACTCCAACAATGTTTTTGGCAGAGGATGTTTTACATGCATAGGCCATGATGAGAAGCTCCATTATGTTGTTGTTTACATCTTTTGTACCGGTTTGGATTAGAAATAAATCTTTGCCGCGTACAGAATCTCCTATCTCCACCATTGTCTCGCGATTCGACTTGTAGTAAACAGCACAGCCACCAGGTTTTATACCCAAACGACTTTGAACATCATAGAAATATATTAATATTTTTTGTATTAATATATTGTATTCCTTTTTTTTTAACATTTAAATTTATTAAATTGAATTTTAGTTATATTATTAATGAATAGCAAACTGTTTAAAATCAATATATTTATTTGCAACTTCAAAAATATATCAATAATAGAAAACTTACCAATTTATAAACAATTGTGATGAACAAAGCATAAAAGTCAAGCAAGGTATACATACTGAATAATATTTATGATGTAAATAATGATAATATAAATCTGTATAAATTTTGATTTTAAATTAAATCTCTTTAATCTTCAGTGTATAGCTGTTACAATATTAAAATGATATTAAAATATTTGATTTAAGATATTTCATTTCTTAAAAAGTCAATCAATTAATTAAAATTGTAATATAATTGCTTCTGATTCATTTTGATAATGACTTCTAATCTTAATAGAGAAAATTAATATCATACAGTAGCTTGTTTTATCCAAAGTGATATAATTCCATTGTCGTTTCACAGTTTTTTGTCATATTTTCTTTGACCAAAAAATTTTATTATTTTTATAAAAGATATCGTGATTATTCATAAACTTGTAATATGTCAGCAATTGTAAAGTCAAATATGGTTGATAATTTGTGATTAATCATCACAAGTGCTATCATTGATCCGAAGAAAGAATAATTTGTTTTTTGAAGGAAATGGAATTGTAAGATATGCATTTTAAACTCATATAATTTTAATCAATTGATGTTTTTTTCAAGAAAAAAATATTTTATATTATTTTAATTTTAACAGCTATATTGAAGATAACTTAATCTAAAATCAAAATATTTATACATTCATATTATTAATACTCATATTATAAATATTATTCAATGTCTTTGGCTTTTATGTTCACAATTATTTAAAAGTATATATTAGAATGAGACAGTATTATTAAATAACCAAATAATTATAATTTTTAACAATGAATACATTACACATTATTATGTAATAAAAATGTAAGATAAAGATAAAATATAATTGCTAGTAAGCAATATAATTATAAAAATAATGTAATTACTAAATAATAAAAAAATAACAAATTTGTATTTGTTTCAAATAACTTTGCAAATAAAAGATTAATCCTTTTAGAAAAATGTTTTTCTTTATTTTCAATTTTAAAGATTAGTAATATGCTATTATTAATGTAGATAATTTTTATAAAATAATTTAAAAAAATTTTCTTTACTTTCTCAATTATAGATATATGGATATAATATGCTATTGTTATTGTAAATAACCTTGTAAAACAATCGCGATGAGGCTTAAAATTATCCAGACACATCAACTTTTAGTGTTTACATTTTTTGTCATTTCATCATTTATTACTTACTTTGCAATCAAATCTGCGAGCTCTGGATGTGAATTGCCTGCGATGATGACTATGTCCGATGAAACTGGTTTCTCCATTATTTCGCCGATAAAAAAATTGCGTAAAAATAATGAGATTACCGGAGAACAAATAGAATAATAAATGCGTAATTCACCTGAAAAAGAACCCAGAAAACTTTATAAACCGCAAACTTCTCAATTTCGAATTTATATTTTGAACAAATGAAAATTGCGCGTTTCGAAATTACGGAAATTTATAACGTGGCTAGTTTTTATTTTGTTATTAAAATTATGCAACGCAATTGCCTTCCTTAATGTGGATTTAACGAAAATTGGGAGAAAGATCGTTTGGTTTATTCGCAATGGAACAAAATCGAGAAGTGCGTATATAAAATGTGACCGTACCTTGTGATAAACAAACAATCGATCAAACTCGGGCTCCTCACGCGCTCTCGACGACTCGATTATGTCGCGCCCGTAAATTCAATTAGACTGTCCCTCACATCCGTCCGTTTCGCACACTTCGTGATCCAATCGCTATTCGATTTACGAGGCCGATTCGAAAGCTGTCGGCGTTCTTGAATCTCGCCACTTCACTGTCAAGCCACGATAATTATGACGCGACCCTCGTCGAGTACAACGGGCGTCGTCTACGGCTCGCGCGCGAAGCGATCTGAAGTTGGCCGCTTTCGAAAATCAAACGCGTCTCGATACTCATGCACCGTGACTGCCGCACGAAAAATTCAAAGTCACGTTTCTCGCCGATCAACTCGAGATCACGCAATGAGTTTATCTTATCTTATAAATTCACTTCTTTTCCTCTTATCGAGTGTCAAGCTTTTATAACTATTATAATAAACAACTAACTTCAGATATGAAGAGACATACGACGCTAAGTATACAACTATTATCTCATTAATCGCACGATAAACTCGTGGCCGAGAAAAATCGGCCAATCACGTGACTCGAGGGTGTCGCTGTGTCCTTCGTGTTGGATACGTGATTGGCTGACGCGTTCTTTTCTCGCGCATGCGCATTGATTATGGCCTCAGTAAAGTATTCAACCTATGAAAAAGACAAAGGTTTTTAAATTCTTTAATTAGACATTTTAAAATTAATCTCAAAAAATAAATCTCAAAAAAAATAATTTTTAAAAATAATAAAAAATATAAAAATATAAATAAAATAATAAAAAATATTTATCAAAATATATAATATATAAAATATAATATAAAATATATGATAAGTAATTGAACATTTTTTTGTATTTGTTATATGAGCTATTTTTATTTGAATCCCGTCAAGATTTATTCCTATTCATCATATATTAAATAAATACGTTTATATAATGCTATAATATTATATATATTATTGCAATATTATACTTTTTTTAGTTTTTTATAGTTTTTATAATTTTTATTTCTATGAATAATCAATAGTAGGCATAAAAATGCAGTTTTAAATAAAATTAAATATTACCAAGTTGTAAAATATGTATATATTTAAGAAACAACAAGATAATAATAAATCATAAATTAATATTATGGTATGAGCTGCTTTAAATTTTAATCAAACAAAATTTCACGAGTATCTGTTTTCAGTTAAAAATGCATACGTAACTGGAATGCATTATTGGCTGGATTCCGTAAAGCGCATGTATGCGCATTTTATTATAATATACGTGACATAAATTATAGATAAATGCGCGCATATGCTCTTTACGGAATTCAGCCATTATTGCATTGCGCATGCGCGAAAAGAGCATTACTGAAAACAATACCGGTAATAACGAGATGCGGATCTGTCTGGATCCGCCTTTAAGTTCAAAGAAAGGAGGTTTCCTCGGCGACCTCGACAGAACTGAGAGTTTGTCGGTTCCACCCTAACCTGGTCTGAATTGTCATCGGCTCACCTGTAAAGGAGCCGAGGAATTTGAAGAACATTTTTGGTAATCATGTAAACAGGAATATATCGATGGTATATAATAAAAATATATTTATTTGTAGATCGGTGATACGCGAAAATTTTGAAAACAACATGCAGATGTAACAATGAAAGAGAAAAAGAACAGATGTCAAAGTTGTTATATGATTTGGTGATAGAATAGTTGAAATAGCGACAATTTTAAAGTAGAAAATGTAATTCTTTTCTCTTTTGGATACTGGATGTTACAGATAACTGGAGTGTGTTGAGCCTTGTATTAGGCTCTGGGGATAAAATCCTGACTGCCAAAGATATTACAGTCATGCTTCTCTAACAGAGACTTACTTATTGTTTATAATTCATTGATCAGTTTTGTTCTCAATTGTACATACAAAAACCAAGGAAACATGCATGCGCGTGCTGACACTTCCGAGAGACGATTCGAGATACAGTGTAAACTCGAGTCAGAAATTGCTGCTTTGGATGCCCTAAAAGAGGCGGAGGAACGCAGTCGACGATTAACGAGTGGAGTAGTAGGAATACTCTCTTCCTTGGAGGATCGTTTAGCTACACTGCGACGTACAATACTTCCTGTTTACAATGAAACTGGAAATCTCCAAGCTCAACAACATAGTATGTGTTTGATATTTTTTTTTAATCTTAGAACCATCTACAAATTTTATAATTTTTTCCTCACTCTTGTATCACAGATATAGAGAAGACTTTAAGCGTGCTGGATCATGCTATTGGATATTATGGCGTATGTCAAGAGGTAGAAGCTGTGGTACGTGCTGAACCAAGTGGGCCTAGTGGTTTGGATGGTTTTCTTGAGGCTATGAATCGTCTCTATAATGCTCAGCGGTATTTCCAAAAAAACAATCCTAGTTCCGTCGAGTTGCAAAATGTCACAGGTCTCTTCTCGATTGGCCTAGAATCGCTTTATGCCGAATTCCATGATATTCTCAATCGTCAAAGTAGACCGATCCTTCCTATTGTGCTTCTGGATCTCATCGGCTCCGACGAGGATACCAGCGGCGAAGACGCGCCGCAATCTCTCTGCCAACTGCCCGAGAGCGTGATGAGCGATCTGCTCAAGATCGCTGGATGGCTCGAGGAAAGGGGTCATCGTAAACACACAAAGATGTACGCTTCCGTACGTTCTGTAATTGTTCTGAGATCTTTGCTGCTGCTTAAGGAACATCAAAGGAGCGCCAGCGGTGGTAGCACCCACGGTGGAAGTCCTATGCCTGTAAATAAGCTTTATATACATGTAGAAATAAATAGTTTTTTAAATATCATTTATACTAATATAAATGTTATCCGTAGCGAGCGAAATTTGCTAACCGGCACTCTCTGGATGGTCAGGAAAATGCAGGCCGTAAGGCGTCGCGGCGGTTGCAACATGCGTTGGATAAAGCCAACAGAATGCTGTTGAAAGCGTCGCAAACAACGAGACTGAACCTGGCTCTGAACTCGGTCTCCAGAAAACCAACGCTGCAGCTCGCCCCATATTCGATAGAGGATGCAGCGCCAGACGAACAAGAAATGGAGAATTATCTGCTGCTGGCAGCTGGCTTGCACAAGCTCATACAAGCCGAGCGCGCGCTGGTTGCGAAAATACTGCCGGCTTCTTTACAGGCACAAGTACTTGAAGCTACCGTACGCGATGCTATGGACTTAGTAGCTCATGACGGAGACAGCATAGCCACGCGTGCCAAACGTTGCATCACGAGACGCGATTTTTCCGCCGTTCTCGTGGTTTTCCCGATTCTGAAACATCTCGGCGAGTTAAAGCCCGATCTCGAAAGGACGGTTGAAGGTTGCGATTACGCTCTCCGCTCGAAGTTCGCATCCGTACTCGATACATTACACACAACCGTATGTTTTGAAGCTTTTTAGTTTCATATACAATCTAAATTTTCATTTTAAATTGATATTTATAATTAAAATTAAATTAATTTAAATTTAACTTTAAATTAATTATCAGATATTTGTCAGTTTATAAAATATCGAAAATACAATTTCTAATAAATATTTAATCAATACGTTTCGGGAAATACGTTGACAATGCGTCTTATCAGAAAGCATATTTCATCAAATATATTAAAGAATGAAAGTATACGAGAGTAATTTATTTCAATATTTTCCGATTGAGATATAAATGACGATTTTTGTGATGCAATAGAAATATCCATCTACGTTTCATACATTTCTGTATTATTCTATTCGCGAATATTTTAACATCTTAAAAGAGATTATTTCACTGTAGAGATTAAATCATTCATTTTTAAGAAATATAAAATATATGATAAAAAAAATTATTGTAGATAGAAACCGATACAATTGTACGACTTTATTTATTTGCATTTGATTAATTTATGATAAATCAAAGGTAAAAATGTTTGTTAAAACGTAATTAAACAAACTTTAATTTTACAGGGTGCTAAAGCTTTGGAAGAATTTGCAGAAAGCGTGAGAAATGAATCCGGTGCGGGTTTGCCAAAGGATGGTACCGTGGCGGAGGGAACGAGCAATGTCCTAGTCTTTCTGGAACAACTAGCTGAATACGCGGATATGGCAGGTGCCGTTCTTCGACGTAATCTTTTCACAGATCAATCTGCACTGTACTCAAAAGATCCGGAAAATGTACATAAAACAGTTCTCGGTGTATATATCAGTAAGTATATGTCTATTGTTTAATTTAAAATGAAATAATGCTGAATTTAAGCATTGAAATAAGAGCACTGTTAATGTGATAATCATCTTGTATTCTTGCAGAAAAGGTTCTTGCTCAATTGAATCTAGCGCTAGTGAGTAAAAGCGACGCGTCTTATTCCGATCTCGCTTTACGAGCTTTATTTCGGCTGAATAACCACAATTACGTGGTTAACGCTCTCTCTCGAAGCTCCCTTATGGAACTGCTCTTACTGGCCGAGCCGAGTGCGGAACAAACGTACCATGATCTACTTCTCAAAGACAAAAACAATTACGTTACCACGACGTTTGCCAAAGCCCGATCGTATCTCGCAGATGAACCAGGTTTGTGTTTTTCAATGCAAAATCTTTCATCGATGCTATAAACAAGATTCTAAATATTTTTTTACTAAGTCAGTACAGAAAGAAATAGCAAACATACGTTTTCAAATCGCATTCATATCGTGTATTGTTAGTCTAATTTTTGAAACAATGACGAATGTTCAACAATTAATGGACCTAGACTTAGTCGCATTCACTTCTTCTTTTTTTTTCTCCTGCACAGATCTCGCCGCCAAAATATTGAAGGAGAAGTTCTTGGGTTTCGCGAGAGAACTCGAGGAAGTGACCAAGTGTCAACGTTCTTACTCGGTACCTGATAGATGTTTGCGCGAGGAGTTGAGGAAGGAACTGCGCGAGGCGATCGTGCCGCTGTACACTGCGTTCCATAATAAATACCGCGGCACATCGTTCTCGAAGAATCCGGCGAAATACATCAAGTACACACCTGATCAAATATCGGCGCTGATCAACACGTTTTTCGACACCGCCGCATAATAATGTATGTACACGTGTATATTGTACTGAAGATCTTTCTTCTCGACAAGGAGAATTAGCAGAATGTTTAATAAACACCCATTTAATAAAGCATATTTAGTTACAATAGTTTTTATGATTCTTTTCCGTGTGGACCGAATCTTCATATCTCTCCTTTTCAAACAGATTG